GTTATTTTTGGGAGTACTGAATATGATAAGTCTTATTAGACTATCTGATTGTTTATTGTTGTTTGTGGGTGTGATCTGCTCCTGGTCTCTCGTTTCCCTGTGTACACGTTTGAGTGTGTGTGTGCTGTGGTGTGTGAGTTTTGCTGCCACACTAGGTATGGAGAGTCGTCTCACCTTTGAGCATTCCACACCTGGGAGTAATCACTCACCTGTTGCTGATCAGCCTAATCAAGGAAGCCCTACTTAAGAGAGTAGTGGAGCAGCAGACTGCATGGCAGTGTTATAGAGGATTGTGGAAACATGTGGAGGGAGCAGAACACTGATGTACACAGGCACTGAGGAGGACACAACACTTACAACGAATCAAGGAGGAGAATCACTGCATGGGGATTGGAAATTGGTGCACGGAGCACTCACACACTGTGGATTGTTGGCACTGTTTTATGTTTTTTTCATTGTAAATACCACACTGTCTTCATCCAGAAAGTTCTGCGTTTGGGTCCTACTTCAACCAACCCTGACACCTTATCATATCTAGTATTTTACTTCCCATTCTGCTGTCACCACTAAACTCTTGGGTAAAAAAGAGAACAACAGAAAAATAGTGCAAGGAAAAAAATGTCTCCTAACTGTCACACAACAAGATTTCAGTCTAAAATAGGACATAAATTAGGGCTTGGTTCAGTCATGATTTGAGACAGTCTGCATTTAAACCTGAAGATGTGTGTTATAAATGTAGCCCAGGTTCTGTTACACAATACTGCTTCTCCTCTTTAGTTTGATGAATCCAAAAACTCATCAGACTGAGACTGAAGAAGTCACTTGGATGAGTGACGAAACGTTTCTTCCACTGAAAACTTTACATCCAGATGAGCAGAATTAAATTTTTAGGATTTCCTTGCCTGGATGATTGAGCGTACATCAAGACAAATCCATTAACACGTTCCCAAAAAGCCACTTGAAGAGCATGTGAGGCTTTGGAGACGAGAATTTTCAGAGAATGAGCGAGCCGTATTCAACGCCGCTGACAGAATCTTTTATCTACAGCGAGTGCGTAAGAGGTTACCTTGGAGAGAAGTGCACTTGTTAGAAGTCCTTAAGTTTTCCTGAAATCACCCATGAGTTGGAATAGTGCAAGTTCTTTAAATGTTCCATTTGAGTGAGGCTGTGAAATAACTCAAACGCTGCACTGTTATCGTTAATATTGAGCAGTCAAGGTGCACCGAATGGATCAATAAAGCAACCAGTGGCACAGGCTTCATTAGAAATATCCAGGCTAAATGTTGCAGAAGCTTTGGAACAGTTTTGGAGTAGCACTCGCTTAATTTGTCTCAGGCGACAGAGGTCTTCAAATTAGAGTCAAACTGAAAATCTCCCAGAGACAAAAACATTTCTCTTTACAATGCAGGAAGTGAAATGAATGAGACATTTTTTCTCACCCCGTTCTCTCAGACATGATGGTTGAGCCTGTACTCAAAATAATAAAAATGCGTTATTGTTGATAAAAAAAAACTCCACTCAATTATAACCTGGAGTAAAGCTTCATACCTCAACAAATGCACACTCATATAGCAGCGCTCATTGTCTCTCACCTTTATTTATTTTGAACAATTCATCGCATCTTTGCCCTCTGAGGCATAACCGATTCCTGCTGTAAGTATGTCAAGCTACTTTAACATACATTTTGAGTAATACATCACATGGGTTTATGAAATGTTGAAATTTGACTTTTG